GAAAATAGGCATCATGAATTAATAATAATTGGGCAGTTTACCACACATTTTATGTCCACAAATTCCGGCGGTATTAAGTAACATTTTTATTATTTTGTAAATACGAATTTGGGATCAAAAATTAATAATATCGGGCAGTTTACCACACATTTTATGCTCACAGATTGTCGACACAACCATAAGTTACGTTAAACAAAACTAAATTAATAAAGCATAATAATTTTATATGCTGGATAGGTCATGGATATGAATAATTTGCGCAACAGAAAATCATCCTAGTAAAAAGTCGAAACTTTTAACTATCATTATCAAAATTATTTGCCAAAAAGCGGAAAAAGTAATAATTATTTCTCCTAATGAATGGACTTGTTTTGCGACTTGCGACAATTTATTTGGTATCATAACAATTACGACATTAAATAATCTTCAATTTTTCGACGTAATGGAAATAAATGTGTAAATCAGAAGCCTTGTAGGGGATTGGCGGCGATGTCCACCTCGCAACCGTGCAAAGGTGGCGCAACAATATGCGACGCACGCTTGCACAGAATATAAACAACTATAGTGCCGATTCTATTTTATCATTAATACGTGACAAAGCGCAAAAATTCGTTTGAAGATTCACGCAGAAACGAAACACCGTGTTTACGGTGAAAAGTGACTATCATTCGGAATTATTCGAAAATCAGCTGAAAAGATATTCGAATACTTTGATATTTAAATACATTCGAATAATCGATTCGTTTTGGACAACCCTGCTTCGAACAAATAACATGTAGAAACTTACTTGGCACTAGAGACTAAATAATGCTAATATCACAATATTCCAGTACATATATTTTACACTTATTGTAAGTAAATTCATCATAAGCCGCTTTGGAGTTTCTGAGAGTTATTTTTAAAACTCTAACCCTAACACACTTATTATATCATATGTATATCTAATTAGCTGTACATGCATATGACTTGGCAGTATTTGTACATCACCAAAATAACCGTATTTGGATTTTGGTTGGCTGTAAATGGATATGACCTTGGCTGTATATCGTATATGGATATTTAGTTGGCGCTATATGGATATTTTTGGCTGAATATGTATATCACGTTACCAACCCCACTCGACACGCCGACAAAACTAAACACGGGTCTCCCCCGAAACGTGAAATTTTTTGTAACCTGAATTGCAAAAATTGCATTTATATGTCGACATTAATAAGCCGGAACTTTCTGACGAAATTCAGTTCATTAAACCGCGCGACTGCGTAATGTCATTGATATTCGCAAATTATAAACATTTATGTGAAAAATATCGTATGTCGTGCACTGAAACATATACTATCTTTGTCCGAGATCTCGATCACTAAGCTCAGGGCGGGTCGCATGCGGCCGGGGTAAGGAGAATGAATGGGCTTGGGGGCAAGGAGAATGAATTGCTTTGTGCAAACAGGGCTCGGCCGATGAGATGAGTCGCGCTTTTCATCTCAATTTTTCACCGTCAACTCGCGTCCAGCAATTCTTTATATGGAATGACGTTTTGTTCTTTTATTTTTATAAAAGCACATCTCTATTGTCTAGCGTGGGCCATGTGGCTGCAGAAGCGAAACGCAGATCTGAAGCGGCAACTAAAAGCGAGAAACAATATATTGTTTTATTGTGTTGTTTGTGATTTATATCTTCCTTAAAATAAAAAAAAACGCCATCCATGCAACATAACAATACATTGAATAGATCGGTAAACTCTCATTCTTTAATATGTTTAGTTTAGTTAGAGTAACTAATCTTGCAGTGTTTTGATCACTTTTGGGTTTTTCCGACTGCGGCCCACAAAGCCTCCTCTCTTTGGACCACCCTGACGTAGCTTATCTCGTTTATGGTTTATCACTGGTTACCGAAATTCAAATAGAATTAGAAATTTATACGATAGAAAAATCTAAGGAAGGGGTGGGCAACCTTTTTCGATCCGTGTGCCAATATCGGATAAATTCAATAAAAAATTCTTCCACGCGTCGACATAAATTTGTGAGAACACACTACTGATATTTTTAAAAGTATATGTCAAGATTTTTAGTTAAATATTAAAAAATACTCCAAACAGTGAAAACACAATATACATAACCAAAATTGGATTCATTCAGCCTAAAAATATTACTTTTCGGCTTTCAAGGAAAACATTACAAAACGCTTTTTATTAAGTTAATTTTCAGGAAAATGTCTGACCGACAAAAAGATTTTATTACTTTTCTTTTTTTATATCAGTGAGACTTCTATTACTGCATTACCGCTGACTGAGATTTTACATTGGCTTATATTTTGTAACCTACAGGAAAATACACGAACTACTATTTCCAAATATATATATCTTAATAAAATTTATATCTGAGAATAGAGATTCACAGGCATATGTAGATGAAAGCCTAGAAAGTAATGCAATTTTCAGGAATGGCATTTCAAGCCCGCAAAAGTTCGTTTTCTGCACTTACAGTACTCCTAGTCGGTAGCGCGCTTTTTTTTTGACCTATTTGATAGCAAGACATCTACACGTTTCAAATACTTAATAATCTATATTTAGCAGGTATTTTAAATAGGAACGTGTTATTTGTGAGTAAGTATATTTGAAAATCTCGTGATTCTCTACTTTGTAATTTTGTTCATGATAAATGAAAATAAAAGACATCCCCCCAATATAATTTTAGAGATAAAATTGAGGCCTTGTCTTATTTTTGGGGAAACACGGAGCCTATTTTCCTGATGATGAATATCACAATCTTGGTTCTCTATAATATGGGCAGCACTATTCGAAGTTCCCGATTATCACAATCTTTTACAAAAAGCTGTCACCATTCGCGTCCGAATGCCTTCAGCCCTACGACATACCTTTCCAAACAAGGGTTGTCTGCACTCATTAAAAATAAATTCTAAAAAGAACAAATGTCCGAGGGAATCCAACAGAAACGACCACATTAACTATAAACTATTGTGCCAACATAAACATATCATATAACTTCTAAATATTGAGTTTTTACATATAAAAATTATAGGACGGGCGGGGTGTACCAGATTTTAAGTTATGGTTGAAAGGGTATACCATTACAAAGAAGGTTGACGAGTACTGTTTTAAACAAGTTTGGCAATCGCGATAAAATAATCGCAAGAGGTTTCATAATGATTTACACTAATTACATAAGCAATTGATGATGTTTTTGTCTCAGGCGACAAACGAAACTTTGGAATTTACATCATAAGGATTACTTACCCCCAAAAATAATTTTATTTTCCTGTGCTTCGTATAAATAAGAAGTCCTACTTTCTGCACTGAATACAAGTTGGTCTGTTCGACAATGTGACAAATCTAACTATAACAGCATGGATTTCTGGCGGATTGGGAAATAGCAATTTCTACGGTTACACGTAACGTAAGTCTTGAGAACACGCACATATCGACTCATCTACGTTCGATTCTGGAGTTAATTCTGAGCTGATAATATTTTAATTTCTGTTGAATATAAGAAACAAAATTATACTTCCAAAAATAATAGTGTGAAATGTTTTTGAGACGGGAGAAAATGGGAATATTTTTTTCAATAAAGTTGCTCAAATAAACTTCTGTGCGCAACTTTTTACACATCGTACGTGCACGTTTTGCACTTGAATTTATTACATAATACCAGAGCGAGGTAAAGCAGGCGATTCCATCATTTGTTACTTTTAACCACTGTCATATATATCTGTTATTCTCATCAGTAATGAGGTTATAGTCCAAATTTTTTTCTTGTATTCAAACATGGTCAATTTCAGATCTGCATCTAATTTTTTTTTTAACTTGCTTGATTTTAAATTTGCCAAGACAATATTGAACTTTCGTCGGTCCCAATATGCTCGTTTCATACAGTAGTCAGAGAACGCGCGTTTTGATAGGTAAGTGGGTATGTCCGCCTTCCAATCACGCGAAATGTATTTGTTGTCGAGTAACATTAAAACTAACGAAAAGGTTAAAGTAATAATTTTCTAAAATGAACTTTCACCCGTAACTACTACAATTTAAAAGTAGTCGGTACAAAAGTTTCTCAATTAGGATAGGATAGCATTTACATATTTATCCCGGGGGAGAGGAAAGCCGATAAGACGGCGTATCCATATGGCGAACCACGGCCTTTCGTCCGGTTACCATTCGGGTATGGGATTAGTTATATTGTTTGTTTTCGGAAGCATGGACTTGGTGGTGGAGGAAGCCGTAACCGACCAGCGGTTACGTGAACCACCGAACGACGGCGAGGACTCCAGCAATCCTCTCGCACATAACTATCCCTGCATGGAATTCGAACCCACGCAGAGTAATTAGAGGTGCGGTGGCGAGCGTATTCCTAACGCTTAGCCCGTTGAGGCACACCGCCGCGCCGGTATTTCCAAACGATCCGGATGTCCAACTCGTCGTCAGCTGCTAAATAAATTTTACTAGTTTTAGTTTGGTTAACTGGTCCTATTTGGCTCATGCCTCATTGGCGGCATCTTGCTATAATGTGAATAAATACAGGTGGTGTGGCTCAACGGGCTAAGCGTTAGGAATACGCTCGCCACCGCACCTCTAATTACTCTGCGTGGGTTCGCAGGTTCGAATCCCATGTAGGGATGGTTATGTGCGAGAGGATTGCTGGACTCCTCGCCGTCGTTGGGTGGTTCACGTAACCGCTGGTCGGTTACGGCTTCCTCCACCACCAAGTCCATGCTTCCGAAAACAAACAATACAGTAAAAACTAATCCCATACCCGACTTGGAATGGTAACCGGACGAGAGGCCGTGGTTCGCCATATGGATAAGCCGTCTTATCGGCTTTCCTCTCCCCCGGGATAAATATGTAAATCCTATCCTATCCTATCCTATATGCCTGAAATCCACCTCAAAGCGTCCACCATTCACATAATATTTAACACTGCAAGTCGCGACACCATATTCGAAACTCCATTTTAGATAAACTGCTGCTACTTAGCGACAAAGTAGAGATCTGATAGTTAACTTTAGTTTATTTTTCGAATGAACAAAACATCAATCATCATTTTATCAAGTCGAATTAATGACAATTGCACCCACTGCACCAAATTGCGAAACAACATTCTAGAATGATAGCAAACGTTTCTCAGACCACGTTAAAATGATACTAGGAAAGTTGTTCTGCCTGATATATTGAGGTTTGCAACTCAAATTTCCAATCAATTTATTTTGAATGTGATGCAATTTTATGACATTTGAGAAAAATCCAATTTTTCAATTCAGATAATCTAACCTCTACCAAATAGGTACATAAATTTTGATTGATCAAAATGAGAACCAATTGCAAGACAGAATTCTAGAATCTCATGGACAGGGATGGCGGAAATTAAATCATTTCTTGCTATTATTAATACATTCTGAAATAATATTTTCAAAAATGGAATATATCCCAAAACCGACCATGCTCAACATGAAACTTCATACAAACCATTGTACTAGAGGTTTTACTAGATTTGGGATAAACATTGATTTGATTGATATAATCTTTATAGTATGAGAATTAAAACTAAATTTATTTTTTGTCCGACTGCCGATGTCTCCTGCTCGAGATGACAAATTTTCAAATGAAAATATTCTATAATATTCCTTTATCACAAATCAACTATATCGAATACAATTATGAATATAACCAAATATTCAGTTCGTTTCGGACATCCATGCTCATGAGCATCTTTTTAATAAGAGACACATACATAGTTGAAGTTACTACAGTGTTGCAACAATGTCTTTTTGTCATTATGAAGTCTGAACAAACAGCTGCAATGATAATTCCATTCCCCACCGCTTATAAACCTTCAGATGAAAGCGTCATTTACTTTTTATATCCTGCATCCTCTTTTAATTGTATAGTTCGGTTGAAAACTTTTTTGTCTTTAGTTGAATCAGGATCAACACAAAAGTATCCAAGTCTTTCAAATTGAAATTTGTCGTATGTTTCTGCATTCTGAACAGATGAATCGATCATGGCGTTTGACATAACTTCCAGAGAATCTCTATTACAATCGCTGACGAATCCTCCAGGCACCTCTTTTGGATCCTCAGGATTTTTGTGTTTGAAAAGACGGTCGTATATACGAATTTCACATGTAGAACCATCATGTTCGGACACCCAGTGGATAAAGGCTTTTGGCTTAGCAGCCTTCTCAACAGATTCACAAGCAACTCTGAGTTCCTTCAATGTTTTGCCATCAGGCTGGTAAACAGCCTCCTCTACGGTAATAACAATTCCAGCATGACGAAGTCCAACAGATTGATTGAGAGCTAAACGCTTATAATTTTTATCAGCATGATCGAGAAAATCTGATCTTTCTATAAAGAGAACTGAAGATATTTCAATACTATGATAACCTTTGCTCTCATCTGCAGGAAAATTTGGGACTCTGATTTCTTTTGTTTTGTTCGAAATAACTTTGTCAAAATTAACAATAACGACTTTAAGTGGTTCCAAAACAGCCATTGCCCTTTTTGCTGTTTCATTTAAAACGTTACGCACACATGATTCAAGAAGTGGGGGCTCCATTGTCACTAAATTTCCTGTGACACCAACTTTTGCACAAAAGTCGTTAATAGCCTCATTCGGAAATCCTCTGCGTCTCAGAGCTGTTAGAGTAAACAGCCGTGGGTCATCCCAATCTCTAACAATACCGTTATCAATCAGTTTAGTAATTTTTCGTTTGGACACAACAGTGTACTGCAGGTTCAGTCGTCCATATTCCCACTGCACTGGGCAATACACATCAAGAGCATTACAAAGCCAGTAGTAACTCGATCGACGAGATTGAAATTCTTTTGTGCACAGAGAATGTGTGATATGCTCTATGCTGTCACAAAGACAATGTGTGAAGTCATAGGTTGGGTAGATGCACCATTTATCACCCGTACGGTGATGTGGAGTAAACTTGATTCGATATGCCACAGGATCCTGCTTACCATCTTCCATTTCATGCTTCATTCTTAACGTAGCTTCACCCTCTGAAATTTTTCCTTTTCTCATGTCATCAAAAAGAGACAGAGACTCTTCAATTGGTCGATCACGCCATGGTGATGGAGGTGGATCCACACCTTTTATTTCTTCCACTCTCTGATGACAGACATAAGCCAAGTTCTTTTTTATTAAGAGGACAGCATAATCATATAGCTCTTGAAAATAATCTGAAGCATGAGTAATTTTATATGGACTGTAACCTAGCCACTGTACCATGTCCAAAATGCCTCTGAAAAATTTCTCCTCTTCCTTTTCTGGATTTGTGTCATCATATCTCAGAAAGCAAATTCCATCGTTAGCTTTTGCATAACCAAAATTAAAATTGATTGCCTTAGCATGCCCAATGTGAAGAATTCCATTTGGTTCAGGAGGAAATCGAGTCCTTACTTGACCACCAGTTAAAGACAAATGCTCCTTCAACAAATCCATTGTTTTCGGGGTGACAACATAATTTTCTGTTGCATAGTTCTCACCAGGCTTGTGGAAGCAAAGGGCAGCACCACGTAACTGATCCATTAAACTCCGATCGTCAAGTTCTACATCTTTGGACTTCGCATCGCCAGAGTTTTTTGCGGGTTTGGGATTGTTCGATTTTTTATTCTTCGATACTGGTGCCATGTCTGCTTCAGTTTTAGGTCCCAATAGATCAAGGAGTTGAATATCAACTTCATTTTTAATAGACTTCCCATCAGCAAACTTGAGGTTTTTTCGGGCTTGACTCAACAGAATTCCAACATTAAACCTGTATCTTTTTGCCAATAATTCATTCTTATTGTTGTTAATTACTGATTCAACTGTTTCTTCAATTTGATCAGGTGTTATAACAACATCAACTCCTGATTCTAGTTCAAATTCTGATGTATTGATTGGATCGACTGGTTTGGATTTGAGGTAGTCGAGAGCTGCAGCAAGTTGAATCTCTGTAACGATCTTCTTTGATACAATGTAACTAACTAGGAATGAAAGTCGCTTCTTATCCTTCAGTCTTGTTGCTACTTGATATAAAAGATTCCCAATAGGCTTGTCGATATTCGATGAATGTGTTTTTGCCTCTTCTATAATTTGTTTGAAAAACTCGGCCAATGCAGAATTTTTTATTGTGTCTTTTGCTTTCGATTCAGATAAACCAACACCCATGAACAGTTCCAACATATCCTTCATTTTGAAGACTTTAATTTAATAGCCTAAAATTGAAAATGAAGTATTATAGTAATGAAGTGACAAATATGGGTCTCGTGTAGTTCAGTACCTAATGTATTTCTAGTGGTCGTAGCATACCAATTTTCTGACATATCAATCCTGACCCCCACCTGAATATGCCATTCAAAAATTATGTCACCACGACGTCACAATCACGTCATAGGGCTTGCCAAATACACTTACGATTGCCTGAAATGGCATCCGCGCCGACGATAAAGAACTGACTAACGGCAGCGATCTCTCTCCTGTCAAGATCGTTACGAGAAAAATAGCTGTTCAATTTCGGGTTCTCGTCTGTGCGTCTTAGATGACAGATCGTATAGTTTGAAAGGCTCTATTACGTCGTAGTTACGTAATTTCGACGTAATTGGATGGTGTAGTCAGGTGAGGGTTAGGATTGACATGTGAAAAAATTGTTATGCTATGACCATTAGAAGTCAGTTAGCTACGAAACTACATGAGACCCACAAATATCAGGATATTGTTTTGATAATATTAAATTACAATGAGCAAATTACAATAGCCTACAGGCATACCATAACCACTTTGGGTCTAGTCTAGTGTAGTTTCGTACCGGTAGATGTTCGATTTCAGGTGCTCGTCAGCGCGTCTTGGAAGCCGAAGGCAGTTCCTATGATTTGAAGGGCTCTATTACGTCACTGTGACGTCGTAGTGACGTAAATTTTGAATGGCGTAGTCAGGTGGGGGTTAGGATTGACACGTGTAAAAATTGAATCATTTTAATTTTAATCATACAGTTCAAAATCTAAAACTCCAGACTTGCAGTTAATGTTGTGCACCTACTATTTCATGTAAATAAGAAATATTATATTTCTAAATATTTAATGTTAAAACTAGAGCTGGATGACAGGCAGACAGGAGGCGAAACTAAACTTACTACGGTCAGACCCGACGAATGCGACGATACAGCGATACCGTACTAGGCATACCGGTAACTTATAAACTACTTAAGCTGGATGATGCAAGGCAAGGAAACTACACCCGATAAATTTAGCAAAGTAAACAAACATATGGCAAGACAGACCAGAACGCCATGAGCGAATACACACAATCTAACAATCTGATGCAACAACTAACGGCTGAACGGCAACGTAAGCAGCATGAGCATGTCTCGCGTTCGCAGTTTGAGCATAGTTCTTGCATGGTTTAACTGAACTATATTCAGTTAACCATGGTTCTTGAATGTGATGGATCTTTCCTCGACCTTTGATCCTCGAAAAATTCTTCCCATACTTTACCATTGCAAAATTTTCGGGGCTTATTTTAAGAGTGGTTTCGCGAGTTGGCACCTGTAAAATGGGATATATTATATATGTGTTTCAAAGCATCAATATAATTAATCGCATACAACAATCTGTTTTTTAAAAGTACCGGTAAAGAATTTTAGCCTAGTCTATCACAGGTGTTTTATACACTAATTTTTTATTACTGCAATTAATTTAAAACTCTTAGGAATACAGAGTGATCATTGGATTATCTGATAGATATATAGATAGAAAGTTTATTCATCATCCAGCGCCAGTTAGCAAGCTCAGGGACGTGCTTCCAAAACGAGGTCTTTCAGCTTTTCTAAGAGCCTGGAAAACGTAAGATTTCATGCAGATACTAATACAAAATGATATAGCTATGCTGTGCAGCGGTTCCCAACTTTTTTTATTGAATTTCTGCCTCCGCCTACCCAAGTGACTGCATTTTTAAACATAAACTGTCGGATTAGGATTTTGAGACCGCCGTCGGGTGCGGACGTGGTATTACACGGTACTGGAGTAAAAAATATTTGGACTAAAATTTGGAAAACCGGACAAACAGGATTGAATACAGACTAGCTTTTATATCTTTTATACATTAGAGCTGCTTTGATAAGAATTGCGTTGATCACTTGTAACAAGTGATTGAATCTAAGGGACTTCGAGGAAACAGAAATAATCGACTTAGCTGCCGACACTGGATTGGTCAGTAAATTCATGCGAGAGAAACAATTCATAGGAACAATCGATGTTCAACACAACAAAATGGAAGCTCCGTGATGTTGGACGTTGCAAAGAATAAAAACATTTACCCCAATTTCTACGAAATCGAACCAATTTTGCAACATGAGAAGCAACGCCCGAAACTAGTTTTCGTGTTTTTATGTTTGTTGTTTACTTTTTAGTTTTATTTGTTTACAAAGAACAGCAGCTAATCAATTAATTGTTATTATTGGTATTCGCATTTCGGCACAGGCACCGTCACATAACTTCTGAATGTTTTTGTATTAATCACGACTTTCACTCATCAAAATTATTTACAACATTACAAGTAAGCTTTGCCCATGAAATTTATTTTCTCGTGATCATGTACTCTGTTCATTAATTTATTCTAGTATGATTGTCTTGGTGTGTTTCACGTGTGTGAATGTGGGTGAATGGGCATAATCGCTGGTTACAGCGTTCCTTATAAACCTTTATATAGGTTTTGCCCATTTTCCTGATCTTTCAGTTGATCCTGTCTGTGTTCTTTTTATTTGTGTTGTAGACGAAAGATCGAAATAAAATTGTATTGTTGTATTGTATCCAGTCATTAGTAGGGTTGGGATTTCGGGACCAGTTTTTGAAATCCCGGTATCGGGATATCCCGGGATTGAGGCGTATAATCCCGGGATTAAGTAAAAGATTTAAACAACGTGCATGACAATAAATGCACGTATTTATTTCATGTAATATCGGCGCAGAAATATTTGAGCATCTAGGGCAGTGGTAGGGCATCCAACCTTTTTTTATATACACTATTTAGCTCTTTAAATATTCGCGGCACACCTATCACAAGACACGAATATTTTCTACCCATAAAGAACTCTTTAGTGCAATAGTCGAACGCGAACATATGGTTAATAGACCGATATTAGAACTGTTTTCTTACATTGTAAACGAGAGCGTCTTCGGAGCACCTCACATTATTGTAGTAAAAGTTGTGCGGCCGCACGGGTAATACATGGTCTTCAAATGCCTCGCTGATCACGCGCTTCCGTTTTGCTCGCCCCGCCCCATTTACACGTTACACCCTTATTAGTATCGCATATATTCTCACTTTTTCACAACCTAATTCAATTTTGTTACAATTTAATATGTTTCTTCCATTGCCAAAATCATTCAATAGTGTTATTGTCGGCAGCTGCGAGAGAAATGAAAGTGGCAAAGAAACTGTATTTCATTAAAACAATTAATTACTATCGCTAAGAAAGAATACTAACTAGGTTTAAAGTAGTTATGAACAATTTTTTATGAACTGGACGTATCTTTTCCCGTTATGAATTTTGTGCAAGGCCCGAGCATAATTTGATGGCAAAGATTATTTTTGTATTCGAGATATGGAATCATCGTATTCCACCACGCTTTCGTGAAGTAGTGCAATTTGCTAAATTTATGAAAGATTTATCAAGTTTCAATGCATCAGTGTTTAGACTACCACGCGTTTCGCCAGATTACTTTCGCGTGATGACAGATCGCAAGAGTGGTCAAATAGTCTATTTTCATCATATCGAATAATTTAACGATTTGTCTAATATCGGGTTGAATTCGGGATTTTATTCCGATTTTTACCTTTTGGGTCGGCTTTGATCTTTCTTTCCACCGTTTGTAAATTAACTGTCATAATTTTAAGCTTAATATATATGTTATCATTTCTGACGCCGGGATGCGGATATTGATGAAGACCGATAGTCGACCTTCTTGATTTTACTTTTTAAAAGTATGGCTGTTTTATTTTCGTATTAAATAGTGAATAAAAACCCCAAGTCATTGCGTGAATCCTGAATGCTATTTTGAATTCAAATTATGATTAAATAAGTCAGCAATAATGACAATTCTACTAGTCAAATGATAAATCCTTGGTACAATTTGAGAAAAAAAATTCGCAAAACTTCCACTTCCACTCGAACTGTAAGCGTGGATGGTTTTTTCAAAATAAGTATCAAATAAAAATGATATAACCTGCCATTTTGTTAGAATATCTATATGTGGATAACAAAGCCCTAAAATCCCGGGATTTTTAGGAAATAATTGCGGGATCGGGATTGAAAAAAAAGTCCAAATCCCGGGATTCCGGGATCGGGATTTCCCGGGGTCCCAACCCTAGTCATTAGCCAACAAATCAAACACAAACAGCAACATTCAATAAGTAAAAGAAGAGTAATCGACTAACAACGGAATTGATAGGAGGTTGGAAGGACCCACGCCCACTAGAAGTACGTTAGGGACGAAACTATACGGTCACTAAATCGAAACAACTCTCCTGGCATTAATTAAAAAAGGTTGACAGATTACATTTTATATAATACCAATTATGAAACATTTCAACTTGTTGTAACTAACAATCAAGCAACAAGAGTAATGTGACACATATTGAGTCGAATTTGAAATTGGAGCGGCAAGGAAAAACGTTTAATTTTGTATCACACAAAACAAAAACGTACAAATTGAAAAGTTATGAATCAGTACTTATTCACAAAAGACTAGAAATACTTTTTGAAAAAAACATTAAAACTGGAAATTTCTTCTAGGTTTTCGTTAATATCGTTCCAAATTCTCACACCCTGGTACTTTATGGAATTTTGGGCACGCGAGGATGAAAATCGTGGTGAAAATAATCCTCCCTTTCGAGATGAACGAGTACCATATTTATGTGCATTTTTTGTTGGAACAAAAAATGCCGTATTACGCGAGGGGCAGTGCTATTTACCGCCTGATACATGAGCCTTCCCATTTCATAAAAATATAGATCTTTCATTTTAAGAATACCAATACCAAGGATTTTGTGATAACTACTCAAATTTGCCCAGCGTGGCACGCCACAGATGGCTCGAATTGCTTTATTTTGGGTTAGCTGTATTTTTTTAAGACTGTTTTCTTCACAGCAACCCCAAGTTACGATAGCATACACGGCATACCGAATATAAGAATGGAATAATAAATAGTAAATGATTTTCAAAGCATGCAATGTCAAA